TATCCCTCCTCCCCGTCTGCTCCCATCCCCCTCTCCCTCTCCTTTTACTCCCTCCATCCCTTCTGTTCTCCCTCACAAGCTGTCTCGTTCTCTTCACCCTTTCTAATTCCTGAATTTAAACGCATGTGAAGGGAGGAAAGGAGAGATTGTCGGGCAGCTGTGCAGAACAACTCAGGAGGCCAGGGAAAGAAGAGATAGATGGATGGAGCAGTTTGTCTATTATTTTTGTTGTCTTACCCTTCCCATAAGGATTACTTTATTATATAAACATCTTTATATAATATCTGATTTATGGAAATAATGGTCTATACAGCACATTTAGGAAATACACATAGCTGTCAGCTTCTAGGGTTCTTCATATGAACCTAAGAATTGTGAAATGTTCATATTCCTTTCAATGCATCTTCAAAGGAGTGGTGCAGGAATGAGTCCTAAACCCGGATATGAGATAGCATTTTAGCACTCTCGGGATCCCTCGTCTCAAATGTCAGTAGGAGTAAAGGAAACAACAAGACAAGAGTGCAGCATATTTCTAAAATGAAAATGATAACCCATAGCTCAAGTATTTTGAGTGATAAGCCTCAGTATTGATGTCTGCTCACCACACAGCCAAGGTGACATTTATAGATATTATATCCAAAGATAAATACAGAGAAGGTGATTTGGATTCTACAAAAAGAGATTGGAGAGGTCAGGTAATGACTGCTGTCTGATTTTGTAAATCAGGCACCCTGCAGGAAGGGAAAGGCTTTAAATAATAATGTTTCTGTGTTGTTTTACATTTATGCAGTATCATTGGCAGTGAACTGACCTTGATTCACAACATTGGCAGCCTTTCTGCATTTACTCATACAGAAGGGATCTCAAACACACACACACACACACACACACACACACACACACACACACACACACACACACACACATATACATCACTTCAGGGGACATTACATTGACTTACATGCATTTCCTGGAGACTTATCCTAACATTAACCATAACCAACACATGCCTAACCCTAACCCTAACCCTTACCAAGTCTTCACCCTAAAAGTAATGATTCTCCTTATGGGGACCTCCATGTTGTCCCCATAAGGGAAACCAGTCCCCACACGTGACTGTGTAAACAGATGTAGGTCCCCACAAGGATGGTAATGCTAGGCCACACACACACACACACACACACACACACACACACACACACACACACACACACACACACACACACACACACACACACACACACTGTCCTATCTTTCCACTGATATGGAGATCTGTGTTTGTTTGTCTGAGCTTCACCTTTGTTTGCCACTGAAGTCTGTCTGCAGCATGATGACATCATGTACTTTGTGTGAACAAGAACATAAGGAAGGAAATGGGGAGAGAGCAGGAGTGAGAATGAAAAATCAGGAGGATAGATTGCGAAATTCTAACTGTGTGTCAAATTACACAACTCTAATGGGGATCTACATCTTGGTATCACCATTGGTATATATTTGAGCAAATGAACATTACCGGAACCAAAGAAGTATCAAATTATTTGTCCAACAGATGGTTTAAATGTTCTTGAGCATGGTATTGTGTTTGACAAAAGACAATAATAGATGTTGCACCATTTGCAGGTGAATATTCTGTTTTAAAACCAAAGATCCAAGCTTCCATTAGTTGATGAATCATAAACCCACTTTGAGCCGCTCCCACAGCGTCAGTCACCCAGGGACAGTTTTATGGTAACAATTTTAGCCCGACTGTATTAGTATGCTGACAGAGAGACGGAAGACACAGGCGGAGATAAAGAGAACAAAAGGTGGTGTGAAAGGAGGAGAAATAGAGTGTGATAAAGGTGTGGGAAAGGGAACAAATAAAGTGTTTTTTGTTATTTACGTGAATGAATAAGATTACTCCCTTTCAACACTGTTGTCGCTAATTTCTGTCCCGTGAGGCCAGTGTTTTCTGGGCTAGTCTGCACTTCTGCTTCTCTGCCCCTGTCCTTGTCTCTTTCAGTCTGAGACACGATGAAGTCAGAGTTGGCAGTAAGTCACTGTGTCAGCTCAGTAGGACACTGTTCCAGTAGAAAAGAGCGGCAGATTAACATATTGTTGCTAGACATTTCAAAGCTCCTAGCAATCACCTCCAACTTTTCATGAGATGAGATAACTTGGCTCATTTTACTCTTGACCTATATGAGGGCTGGAGATCAATGTGTGGGGTCGTGGGTCAAAAATGGTCCCCTTTTGACATTCTCCAATCAATCCACCAGTGCTCTTGTACTAGATTACAAATGTGTGTGCGTGTGTTTTTATACTTGGTATAACACAAGATCATTTTAGCTCCTGTACCATGCAAGCACAATTTTGACCTTCAATATGTAAAATATCTGATAACTAAGCTTTATTCCAACCCCCTTCCCACTGTCCTTAGACTCAACAGTCTCCAATGTGAACAGGCAACCCAGTCTCAAGGCATTTTGTGTAATTAATCTATTGATTCGTGTTCACCAACACGATTTCCCCCTTTTTTGCGTGTCACACAGAACGATTTTAAAAGCAATGTATTTCAATTGGTAGTATGTTTCGTGCCTGCACCACGTCTTTTTGTCCGGTCGGGTCTTGGAAGACCGGAAGCTGTGTGGTTCATAAAAACATTTTCTTACTCAATATCAAGCCACGATTATTGTTTTTATTTTAAATTGTAAAATGTCGGACTTATTTTGCCATCCGCGAGGAAAATAAATGGGGCAGAGCCTCAGAATACTGAAATCTGTATTTTTTTAAATCTTTTTTTCCTTCTAATTTGTTATTATTTACATTGCTTTTAAAATCGTTCTGTGTGACACGGAAAAAATGGGGAAATCGTGTCGGTGAAGTTGAACACAAATCAATAGATTGATTTTGTGACTATAACACGAAATGCCGTGAGACTGGGTTGGAACAGGAGGCACATTCAAACTATGGTTTAGCCTAGAGCTGGTGAATGTGTGGGCAATTTCGCTTTGTAGCTTTTACAATATTGCTTTGTGCTTCCATGCTAACATGCTCGAAATGACACTGCAATGTTCAACACTTTAGATTAGCCTATTAGCATGCTAAAATGTGTTAATTAGCACCAAGCATAAGGTAGCGGAGGCACCAAAGTCAGTAGGATTCATCCTCTAAACTAGAATATATGGTCACCCGACACCTGAAGCTACAAACAACACACAGGATGCACTGCTTTTGTTCCATTCAATTTCATTTAAGAAGTAAATATATCTACTTGTACATATATTGTTAGCAACATGGCTAAGGGGAGACTGCACCATCCCATTTAGGAAAAGTGCATTCAGCCAGGCTGTCTTTTCATTCCACGCATCGCATCAATGGAATTCAATACCACAACCAATAAGAGAATCCTCATCCTACTACACATTCAAGCACAGTATTAAAAAGTGGCTCATTGAAAACCAACAGTGTCAGCACTGTGTGGGTGTAGGTGTGTGTATGAGTGCGTATTGTAAATGTTTTATTTATTATCATGACTTGCTCTTATCTGTATTCAGTGATGTCATCTATTGTAAATGTACAATGGTATAACAATGTTGTGGTATTTTTATTATTGCTTTTAGGATGTCTTTCACCATCTGGCAAAGGGACTATCGATGAAAACTAGCCTTTTGGCTAATTTGAGTACTTTTACATGTTTTTAATATGTTGATTAATGTACACTGTCCCTTGTTTTAAATACATCAATTCAATTCAATGGCTACCGCTAGTAGCATGGCTATCGCTAGTAGCATGGCTAACATTACTCCAAACAAAAAAATCATCTGTATGTATCCAAAATAAATAGAACCCCCCATCTTAGGTCTAAGGAATAGATAACCAGGCCTTCATTCACTTCTCTCTCAAAGGGCCTCTTTGGGTAGAGTTACCACAGGTGCACCGGTTCTTCCGCTATAGCTAGTTTAGGTTGTTGAATTGCCTCTAAAAATGCTTAATGCTCTCTGGTGTGATGCAGTAAATATTTCTTGGTTTTTCTATTAGTCTAAGGGAGAATGCGACCCGCCATCAAACAGAATTGCTTTAGTGCGTAGAAACTCAGGAAAAGATGCAGGTTATGTTCTTACAAATATATGTCCCTAGTGTCAGCAGCACACCCATTCACCTGTCAAAAATGTTCTTGAACTTTGAACCAAATATTCCCAGTTGCATATGAGCATTTTTTGTTTGAGACTTTATTGTGTGTGTGTGTGCATTTTATTAGCTGAGGCTCATTCATCTTTTAAGTAAACACACTCCACCAAGATGTGTGCACTGTTAAACGCATCACTGGCACCGTGAGCACCGACACAGAGAACAGCCCAAGGTGTTCAGCTCCCAGGTGACTGTTAAACTGTACTTACACTCTTACCCCTTTGGGAAAATGCAAGCAAAAGGACAGATTTAGACTATGCACAGTCATTCCTGTAGTAAGCATATAAACAAAATTCCACATTGATTGCACTTTTCTCCAACACATAACATGATGAAGGGTTTAAAGGGGGAGAGAGTGATTTCCATTCATAGTCTTCCCTCTTTCTCTCTAAGCTTTAAGTTCAGGCTAGCTTGGGTCCCCTCCTTTCAGTGTTCAGTGTTACAGCTCAGTGATCATGACGATGGCTCTTATAAATCTGAAGCTATGATCTCTGCCAATACTCCAAGTTGGTGATTCTATTAATATGTGTGCTCAGGAGAGGTGCTTTAAAACTTAAGGATATCTTTAAAATATCATACATTAACCTCATCAGACACTATGTTTATGGCGTAAATTGCTTATTGATCCAATGTTGCATTGCACCACACATACTTATATCAGATGCCTTATACATTTGCTTGTGATAGATGTTTTCAATCTTTTCCTTGGCTATGTTGAAAACAAGAGCCTGTACCATAAAGGATTAAGCTACATAAAACCATCAGAACTAATACCATACTGTGAGGAGTCTTATCATGTCCATGTCTTTATCTCTGCCGTCATGTCGCAGGCGTTTGGCCAGGCCTACTCTACCCAGCGTAGGGTGGCAGAAGATGGGGAGACCAACGAGGAGACGTTGCTGCAGGAGTCTGCCAGCAAGGAGGCTTACTACATGGGCCGCCTCCTGGAGCTCCAGTCGGCTCTGACGAAAAGCCGGGCCACCTCCTCTAACGTTCTGGCTGACAACGAACACCTGAGCACACTGCTGCAGGAGCTGAGGGAGGTACTGTACATCTACAAGGGTTACATATATCACACGGTCTAAGTAGGGTTCCTTGAAGTACAATAGGGTTGAAATTTAGAGGCCAACATTTTCTGAACTAGGATTTTATGACATTTTTCCAATACTATACTCAAATGGTTAAGTGGCACTCACGTTAAGCTGACTGTATTCCTGTGTATGTGTCATAAACAGCATGCAGCTCCATCAATGTTTCCCTGACCTGTCTCAGCAGAGCAATGACATGTTGGAGCTTCAGCGCAGCCGGATGCGAGAGGAGATCAGGGAGTACAAGTTTCGAGAGGCACGGCTGCTCCAGGACTACACCGAGCTGGAGGAGGAGAACATTACGCTGCAGAAACTGGTGTCGACACTCAAACAGAATCAGGTACAGATGGTTCACACACACATCCACATGCAAATTGAACCCTGCAACTGAAGCCTGATCGAATCATAGGAAACCAAGTAGATCAATCATTCAAACCAAGACTTTGTGAATGATTCTATCGTTAGTTTTGTGGGGATTTATAGTATATTCTAAACATATTACACAGATTTTGGTGAGCACAATATTGTTCTCTCATTTGGATCTCATTTTATTTAAGCGTGTCTATAAACAGCTCACTGGTCTGTTTCAAATGGAGTAGAAATGTTTTAGTACTTTTTTCCGATTACTGATATTATTGACATATGAGGGAAGCTCAACGAGGCACCTTTACTACCCCACAAAGTGATACAGCACATCTTGCCTTTCTTTCGATGTAATCCTATCTTTCTGTTGCTTTACCCCTGGTTTAGGTGGAGTATGAAGGTCTGAAGCATGAGATTAAGGTCCTGGAGGAGGAGACGGAGATCCTAAACAGCCAGTTGCAGGATGCGCTGCGTTTGAAGGACATGTCAGACGCTCAGCTGGAGGAGTCCCTGGAGTCTCTGAAGAGCGAGCGTGAGCAGAAGAAGCACCTGCGCAGGGAGCTGGTACACCACCTCAGCATGTGTGATGTGGCCTACACAGGAAGTGCCCACCTCACGTTCAGCTCCGCCCCGCCCAGTGGAACCGCCACCCCGACGACTATGCTCTCCCCAAACGCAGAAGATCCAACGAGGTGGATATTAACTTACATGGAAGAACATTTCACATTTACGTTGGATCACAAGACCTGCTAATAGTTAAACCTGTGTGACAAATTCCTTCTATTTTTCTAATATGCTTTGGAGAATTAATAGATAATGAGAATGGCTTTCCAAATATGTAATAGGAAGTAAGGCCTGTTATATGGTAGGGCATACAGTAAACAACTATTTATTTCAGTGTGTGTAAAACACTGCACAAATATGCTGGTTTAATGAATGATTCTAGTCATAGTTATTTGTGATAGTGGCATTATTCCAGAAGGTGTTGGCCTGCACTCTTTATTGTTCCGGTCATACATCTGTCTCATTCTCTATATTGTCTTATGGAAAGCTAAGTGAATCTCCCACATTTTTAAGTGGTGCTCTGATTTCTTAGGTGTAATGGCCACCTCCAGGGTGGGACCGCAGCGGGAACAGCAGGGTCGGTGCCCAGAGCTAATGGAGACTGCCGGGTCTCGGGTTGGAAATCTGAGGGTGGGGTGACGTCGGACCTCTTCAACGAGATGAACATGACAGAGATTCAGAAGCTCAAGCAGCAGCTGGTGACGGTGAGTCTGCTCTGTGATTCAATCATGTGCTATCATGTATTAGAAGGAAGTCAGCATTGTGACCATTTCCAAATAAGAGCACAAGCACAGTATGAAAGAGCCCGGACTGTAAACTATTTTTCACCTTGAGCAGGGATTTAGGAACAGCCAGCAATCTCAAATTCAACAACTTTTAAAGAGGCCCTATTGTGCTTTATGGGGTGTTCCCTTTCCTGTAGTGCGTTATAAAGGTTTGTGTGCATGTAAATGGCCTGGAAAGGCAAAAATCCCTCCAGAAGGAATTCTCTCCCACACCTTCCCCCCCTGCCTGAAACGACCTATCAAGAAAGGAAGACCTGATTTCAGGGATGCTCCTCAGATAAGGGAAGCACGATGAAATGACTCGTTTGTCGAATGAGAGATCCCTGGTTTCTGGATGCCAGTTTGATGTTTTCTGACAAGGGGCAGAGAAGAAAAAATATCCTTTTTCTGAAAATGTTAAACTATTCCTGTAAATGTTTGGCATGTGTTGGCTCCATAAAACATCATGCCTTATGATTAATTAGTGGAACCTTTTTGTTGTGATGTGAAACAATGTGAGAGTTTTATTTTTTATTTGTATTAGTGTCTGCTGCTGGGTTAATTATCTGGCAACCAACTCATCTTTAGAAAGCCAAAGCTGTTGAATAATTTACTGTAAAAAACCACATGACATGCAGTAACCCCACTGTGTTAAGAACTCTGTCTCTCATTAACCCTTTGTCTTACACACAGTCACACATTCATTGGCGTCCTTTCCTTACACCTTTTCCTTATACACTACCAGAAAAACAATAATTCGGAGCATGCTCAAATCGCTACAAAGACTTATTTTGTGTGTACACAGTCATCCACGCGTGTGTGCATCTGCTTTAGTTCCTGTAGGTGTAACCCCATCCATTCCTGCTCCCTGCTGCTTTGCTGATAGGCTGCAGTCAGAGCTTATTTATATCTTAGCTGACACACTACACTATCGACCACTCTCCTGTAGATGGGTGGGTTTCATCGCTGCTTCTGCTGTCGGGGCTGCTTTTTTAAATGTTACTGAATCCACTGTTGTGCTACAGCATTGCTTCTTTTAAACTGATGGAACTATTTCCTTTAATGGTTCAGTGTGCGTTCCTGTTAAGGTGTGGTTGTGAAAGTGCTCAGTTTCTAAAGGGAGAAAGTGATGTGTTCGAGCGGAAGCCTTTGTATGTATGTCAATGTCAATGTCGGAGGATGCTTAAATTGGATTAAGATATACTGCAACCAAAGTTTGGGGGTGGGGAGTGTGTTGGAGAGAAACTCACCCAACTGGATTTGAGCCTTTACAGATCATTTACATGCACAAAAACCTATATAACGCACTACAGGAAAGGGGAACCCCAAAGAGCATGATAGGGCCCATTTAAGACATGTTTTAAAGACTTGTTAGCCTCAGCAGCTCTGGCTACATTGAACTGAAACTAACTTTCATGTCAGCGATACAACACATCAGAAAGCACATTATCTATGTTCTCCTTTCATCTTCCTATAAACTGCTCACATCAGCAGATATTTGATACAGACTCAGGACCAGATTTATCCCTTTTATTATTGTGATAGATCGGGAACAGTCAGTGGGGAAGTCAGTGCGAACATTCTGTTATTCCAACCTACTGTACAATAAAGAACGGGTAACGTGAAACCGAATCCAGGCCCAGAACTGTCTCAGCTGCAAACGCCAGAGGAGTTTAGAACGAAAGACGGATTACGTCTTTTTCACCTTAATGTTCGCAGCATGATTAATAAGATGGACTCCATCAGAATATGGGCCGATTCGACTGACTCTGATATCATTGTCCTTTCTGAGACGTGGCTCAAAAAGTCGATTACAAATGATATGATAAATATAAAAGATTACAATGTCTTTAGAACAGACCGTGTGGGAAAAGGGGGCGGGGTTGCGATTTATGTTAAAAACCATTTAGACTGCACCTGCATCGAATCCCTAACAAAACCAAAATGCTTTGAACTCTCTGTAATTAAACTATCGCTCCCAAGTGGTTCAGACATTATAGTGGTCGGATGCTACCGCCTGCCCGCTGCCTCAAGCGAAGCCACGAATATACTCTCCAATCTTCTCCATAACTGGACTAAATCCGAGATGGTTTTACTCGGAGACCTAAACTGGGACTGGCAAACGGATTTACAAAACTCTTTCAAGGACACTTGTGACTGTCTCTGTTTGGTGCAACTAGTTAACTCGCCAACTCGGTTAAACCAAAAAGATTTAGAGAAGTCCACTTTGATTGATGTTATTCTTACAAACGCACCTCACCGTTTCTCCGCAGTAGGCACGTTTTGTAATGATATAAGCGACCACTGCGCAATTGCTTGTGTGAGAACCTGTAAGATCCCTAAAGGAAAGCCACGTTTCATTCACAAGAGGCGATTCAAACATTTCGATGAGCAGGCGTTTCTACATGATGTTTTTAATAGTGATTTACACATTGTTTCACTTATGACCGATGTTGAGTTAGCATGGAATTATTTTAAATCCACCTTCTTGGCTATATGTGACAAGCATGCTCCTTTTAGGACATCTAGGATAAGCGGTAAAGACAACCCCTGGTTTAATGATTCTATATCCTCTCTCATTCGACAGAGAGACACTGCCTGGGCTAAAGCAAAGAAATCGAATATTCCATTAGATTGGAATCTGTATAGGACATTAAGAAACAAATGCACTAAGCTGATTAAAGACTCTAAATGTGCCTACTATCTTAATGCAATACATGACAATTTGAATAACCCTGCAAAGTTTTGGAAACTTGTTAAATCCTCCTCAGGTTCTATCACTCCAAACAGCCTTCCTGATCTCTTAAGGGTAAATCAGAGTGAAATCAAGGGCAAAATGGATATTGCAGACAGCTTTAATAATTATTTTATTTCTGCTGGCTCAATCTTTGATTCTAGCAACTCAGGGATGATTGCTGCAGAAGGAGAGCCAGGTCCTCCGCCACTTGACCCTGATCAACTGTTCACCTTTGCCCCCATCTTGACCTCTCAGGTTCACAAAGCTTTAATGAGCCTAGATGTAAAGAAATCTTCAGGCCCAGACAAGATAGAGCCGTTCTTCTTCAAAGTTGCTGCAGGTCTGATTGCAGAACCCATAACCTCTATTTTGAATCTCAGTCTTTGTGCTGGTGAATTGCCTAGCTCCTGGAAGTTATTATTATCGCCCTATTTCCAGACTGTCTGTAATGGCCAAAGTCTTTGAATCTCTTGTAAACGAACAACTGAAAAAGTTTCTAACTGACCATAATATTCTTAACGAGTCTCAGTCAGGCTTCAGATCAGGCCATAGTACTACTTCAGCGGCTATGCTAGTCTCAAATGACATAATTGAAGCACTAGACAAGAAAAAACACTGTGCAGCATTGTTTGTTGATCTGTCTAAAGCTTTTGATTCTGTGCATTGCTACTGCAGAGGCTTGGCTGCATAGGTCTTGGCAAAATGGCTTTGAGCTGGTTTAAAAACTATCTATCTGAAAGAACTCAGTGTGTCTCAGTAGAAGATTATACCTCAGCTGCTCTTACTGTAAACAAAGGTGTTCCACAAGGTTCTATTTTGGCCCCTGTCTTATTCTCCATCTTTATAAATGAACTAGGAAATGGGATAAACCCAGCACGGTTTCATTTATACGCCGATGATACAGTTGTTTACACAGTGGCTTCCTCTTTAACCCAGGCCATAGAGCTTCTACAGGATGCTTTTAATACACTGCAACACTCCTTGCTAAGGCTAAGACTGGTCCTTAATGCAAAAAAGACCAAGTACATGACCTTCTCTCGCTCTCGAGCTAATACAGCTGTCCCTCCGATTCTGACACTGGAAGGGACATGCCTTGACAAAGTAGCATCCTACAAATATCTGGGCATATGGATTGATGAAAAGATGGCCTTTGATGTTCATATTGGGAACCTACTGAGAAAACTTAGACCTAAACTGGGCTTTTTCTTCCGTTTAAAGAAATGTTTCCCGTCTGAAGCCAGGAAGAGAATTGTGCAGAGTTCCTTTCTGTCTGTATTAGACTATGGCGATGTGATCTATATGCATGCTCCTTCCTCCCTGCTTAAAAAGCTGGATTCTGCGTACCATACTGCTATACGTTTTGTAACGGGTGCAGGCTCTCGCACCCACCACTGCACTTTGTATCAATCCCTAGGATGGTCCTCTCTGTACCAAAGAAGACAATCACACATGTTGATTTTTATCCTTAAGTCATTGCTAGGTAAGCTGCCCTTATATATCTCCAGACTTCTGTCCTTTTATACTTGCTTTTTTAATACCAGACGAGCAGCAAATGGGATGCTTTTAAATGTTCCTTTGATGCAGTCAGAGCTTGGTAAAGCTGCATTCTCCCACTATGCTCCCTTTTTATGGAATACGCTGCAAGTAAAACTTTGTCGAGAGGCACTTCCTACTGTAAATGCTTTTAAAGGTATGCTACGATTAGCCCTTCATGAAACATGTAACTGTTTTACCTGATGCTATTGCTGATGTGATTATGCTTCTTGCCACTGCACAAATGGCCTTCTGTATTTATATTTGAATTGTATGTTTTTTGTTTAATGCCCTTGTTTTATGTTGAAACTTGTTGTGTGCCGTGTTGGTCAGGACTCCCTGGAAGAAGAGATCTTGTATCTCAATGGGACATTCCTGGATAAATAAAGGATAAATAAAATAAAAGAAAGAAAAGCGGCAGGATGTGATTGGAGATGGATGACAATTTCAGACTAAATATGTTTGGTTTGGAAACTTCTGAAATAAAACATATGCTGTGCTTCTTCCTAATCTTGCTGCTGCCCCCTTCAGGTTGAACGTGAGAATGTCTCCCTGATGACCAGTCTGCAGGAGTCCCAGAGTCAGCTTCAACACACCCAGGGTGCCCTGACCGAGCAGCATGAGAAGTCCCTCCGCCTGAACCAAAGAGTCACTGTCCTTCGCCGCCTGAATCGCAGGGCCCGCCTACACCATGAAGCCCCTGCTTGTGCCCCCTCTCAGCTCCACCCTGAGGCCCTGGTGGAGCTGGACAAAGATGAAGAGGAGGCTGAAGAGGAAGGAGGGACTGAGGAGGATAGGAGTGAGACACTAAACAAAAGTCAGGTATTTTCTTACCAGACGCCAGGACTGGAGATTCTGCAGTGCAAGTACCGTGTGGCTGTGACAGAGGTGGTGGAGCTCAAGGCGGAGGTGAAATGTCTCCGTGATCGACTGGCTCAGGGTGTGGAGGCGGCAGGGGAGGAGAAACCAAGGCGAAACAGTCTGCAGAAGCTGGACAGGCAGGTCAACACGTTGGAGAAGAACTGCCGGGAGGGACGTGAGAAGGTAACCACCTCGTACTGATGGTGTCTGTTTGACTAGAATGACAGATAGCTACAGAGGTTTCATTCCTTCTCCCCTTTCCTCAGATTTCTAGCCTGGAGTTGGAGTTGCGGGCAGCTCAGTCAGCAGCCAGCGAGAGTCGGGGTGCGTTGAACGCAGCTCAAGATGAGTTGGTGATTCTCAGTGAGGAGCTCGCCCAGCTCTACCACCACGTCTGTCTGTGCAACAACGAGACGCCCAACCGTATCGTGCTGGACTACTACAGGTCTGACTGCTGTCTTATTGGTCGAACATATGCAGCATCAAGGAGTGAAGCGAAAGTTATTGAATCAAGGCCCAATATGGGGACCTTGCATTTAAGGGAGGGCCACTTGTTACATCTTGTAGCCCATTCCAGCCTTGTCTACGGTCTTGTCCCTGAGGTCCTTAGACAGCTCTTTAGTCTTGCCCATGGTGGAGAGGTTGGAATCTGATTGATTGATTGATTCTGTGGACAGGTGTCTTTTATACAGGTAACACAGTTGATATTATAAGTACTTTCTTAAAGGAAAAGGACTTATTTAACCGTTCTGTCGGAGCCAGAATTCTTGTTGGTTGCAAGGCGATCAAATACTTTCCCACAGTTAAATACAAATCAATTTGTATCTTTTATATAATGTCAATTTCTGGATTTTGATATTCTTACTCTCACTGTTAAAATAAACCTACCATTACAATTATAGTCTGTTTGTATCTTTGTAAGTGGGCAAACTTACAAAATCTGCATTTATAATTATGAATCTACACAGTGAAGTTTCATGGGTAAAACAAACTAAATCTCGCTTTCTTTCTTTCAGACAAGGCAGAGGGCTCCGGGGCCTCAGTGCCACTCTTAAAGCCATGTCTGCTGACAACAGCAAAGTTCTCCTCACACCACGCCTCGCCAGGCGGCTGGCCGCTGTCGCTTCATCCACCCTGACTCCCGGGGAGTCGCGTAGCCCCTCGCAGTCTCCATCCAAGGAGCCTTTATCTAGGGAAGGTGGCGGGGAGGAGAAGGGAAAGGGGGGCCTCCTGGAGCCACCTGAGCAGAGCCTGCCGCCCTGCACACCTCCAACCCGCTCACCTAGCATCAGTGCCTCTTCATCAAGTTCCTCATCATCCTCGCCTGCCCTGGACCCAGCTGGTGAGCTGCGCAGGGAGCCCATGAACATATACAACCTCAACGCCATCATCAAAGACCAGGTAGAACAGTGTTCTCATTTCGTTGTCTCCTCTACTCTCTTCAACCTTTCTTCTATGAATCTTACCTCCTCTTGTCCTCATCTCCTCCCCCAGGTGAAGCACCTGCAGCGGGCAGTAGACACGTCTCTGCAGCTGTCCAGACAGAGAGCTGCAGCCAGAGAGCTGGCACCTCTGATGGACAAGGACAAGGAGGTCTGCATGGAGGAGATCCTGAAGCTCAAGTCTTTGCTCAGCACCAAGAGAGAGCAGATCGCCACCCTCAGACTGGTACTCAGGGCCAACAAACAGGTGAGACGTGTGACTACGGAATGTGAAAAAAGTGGCAATGTGTCCAAACTGTGAAAAAAGAAGCACCACATTAGTGTGACTACTGCTAGAACCTACGAACCTATGATCAGAATATGATTTGGAAAGCAAAAATGTTTTCCTTAAAACCTGCACTAGGAACAAAAACATAGGCATCTAGTGATGCTACAACATAATGTTAATACCAAGCTATAGACATACAATGTTAAAACATGTGTTACTGAAGTCTTGTTAATTGAAGTGAGTTATGTAAGCGTTTCCCATGATAAAATGAACACACAAAGTCTTTACTTGCAGCTGTCTTGATTATGATGCTTAGCTTACAGGTCGAAATTCCTACCTAAAGACATTATGCTAAATGAAGGTTGCATGCCCCAAAACATTGCGATGAAGTGAGTTGTTCTTTATTTCTATGCATCTACAACCTAAGCCAAGGATTTTGACATTTGCCTTTTACAAGAAAGGAACATCCAAGATGTATTTTATCAGTTTAAAAAAGCAGTGTTAGGTATAAAACGCCTTTAGGAAATGAGTTCAGCAGATTATAGTCCGTTTACTGGCCTTCCATGCCCATCAACCAATAAGGTTGAATGAGGACATGGCTGTCCTAAACCTTTCTGCTAATGCTATTAGCTTCTATTTCTTGTTTTATATGATTTCTCTCCAAGGAATGCGTGCATCAGTTTTTCAATACAGAGGAAATCAAGCTAATCGTACATACCATACATACAATAAAACAAAAGTACTGTACCAATTTGGATTCACACAGAGTGCAAACTATAAAAACAATTACACTAGCACAATGATTCATCCTGTACACGTTTCATGAGTCATTTCCTGTACTAAAAACTCACTGGAAAATCTGTTGTTGTTAGCAGTAACTGCATTATGCATTGCTATTTGGGCGTGGCACTTTTAAAAGAAGTACGTTTTTTGTTCTATGTATAAAGATATTGACATGGTCTAGTCTTCCTATAGTTCAATGTGATAGTGGGAAGTAGAAACGGAGGTTAGGAAAGGGAAATCATAACATGAGAATTTATGATGTGTGTGTGTTTACCCAGACGGCTGAAGGGGCTCTGTCCAACTTGAAGAGTAAGTATGAGGCGGAGAAAACCATGGTGAGGGACACCATGACGAGGCTGAGGAACGAGCTGAAGGCCTTGAAGGAAGATGCCGCCACTTTCTCATCTCTGCGCGCCATGTTTGCCACCAGGTCAGAGACGAAACAGAACAAGTCAACAACTCAAAAGTAGATTAACCATCTCAGATAAATGTGAAGAATTTTACTTGCAATGATGAAGCCACAGAGCAAGTCCCCATTAACTGAGTGACCAGAAAATGATTAATTCTGCATTAGTTATATTGTAAGGACTGCTCCAGTAATATTAGAGAAATCACAAATTGCTCTTTTTTCTCATATCAGTTCTTTAGGATCTCAGAGTACCAACTTGTGTAAACGACATTCTCTCTCAATCCAACAAAAAAACGTTTTAATCTTAGAAAAGGGTTGACTAATAAGATTAATAAAATGAGAGGGTAACTATAAAGCTACGGCTAACCACTGGCTAGCTTAGCTTAGTTTAGCACTGATACTGAAAGCAGCTGACAATTTGAAGGTATCAAATGTGCCTACCAGCACATATAACTGTGTGTTTGTACAGTATGTGAAGCGTATTCCCAATTTTGTGGCTTCTTTTCCCCCCTGTTTGTGTTTTCTCCGTCTGAACCGTGTTCAACCTGCTAACACCCTGCTGTCTTCAGGTGCGATGAGTATGTTACCCAGCTGGATGACATGCAGATGCAGCTGGCTGCGGCAGAGGATGAGAAGAAGACTTTGAACTCCCTCCTGCGCATGGCTATCCAGCAGAAACTGGCCCTCACCCAGCGCCTGGAGGATTTGGCTTTCGATCAAGAGCAGACCCACCAAACCCGCGGGGGGCGGCTGCACCGCATCAAGACCAGCACCCCCAAAGTAAGTCCCTCGGCCTCTTCTTCGGCATCCAACCTAGCCCAAGGCTCCACTTCCGCTATGACCCCTGTCAGACCTTCCCTTTCCAACCTTCTTAGCTCTACGTCAATTCTCCCTGATGACCCCACTCTGCCCCTTAGTCCATCTGTGGTCAGTGCGGCACTTGCTTCAGCTCTCACCTCCCCCACATCACATTTTCACACTTGCAGTCCGTCATCACCGGCCGGCGCCTCATTGGTTAGCCCTCTAGCGCCAGAGAGCCCCCCGTGTCTGGAGGCCCCCTCCTCTCCCTCGCCGCGGACCCCGCCCTCAACCTCTCTGAAGCTGGCTCACTCCCAGTGGACCATGGGGGTGCGGACGTTTGTGGTTGACTCCCACAGTATCAGTGTCAACATCACCCCCAATCTGTCCCATAGTCCGGGCCCCTCCAGACACATCACCCCAGACTCTTTTAGCTCTTCCCCATCCACCACAACAACCAGGCCCACCCAACCAGGATCGGGCCCCTCTTCCCCCTACCGCTCGCCTATTTTGGGGCTCAGGCGCTCCACATGGAGCCCCTCACCCCGAACTCGGCCATTGTCCAGCCTGACGCGCTCTTCTGTCCTCTACGCTCCTTCCTCACCCTCCCCTTACTCTTCCTCTCACTCCCCATCTCCCAGCTATTCCTCTGCCTACTACGGCTCTTCTTCTTCTGTTTTCACCCCCTCTCGCTCCTACCTCGCCTCTGGCACCACCAACTCCTACGGCCACTCCACCAGCTACACGCCCCTCTACCCAAGACACTACAGTTCTTACCGGCCCCGGCACTAACCCCTTAATAAATCCTTTGAGCCTTTTGAAGGCTTCTCGACTAGACTCCTTATTGACATTAAAAAACTGCAACTCCCATCATCCTTCTCTTTCTGTCACCTGAGAGAATGGGCGCTCACAGAGAGGAGGACAAAGTGGTTTCCTGTTTCCCCGTTCCTTTTTTCCTGTGCCTAAGCTTTGGCCAATGGGTTCTGAATGTTCAGTGACTTTGCTCAGGGATTTGACAAATGGAGCACAAGAGGCCCCACCTTCCTTCTATTACGAGACTGCTGATTGGTCCACAGGAGGACTTTAATAGAGACTTTTTATAATGAGAGTTTTTAGGCATCAAGTTCTTCAGATTGAAGTGACACATGCATGATTTAAGCGCAGAGACATTCAGACACTGACTGGACATTTGGAGGACACTTTCATAAGTTTGAATGAAGGCCATGACATATTGAATAGCGTCCTCTATATTCAATATAATATCCACCGAGTCTGTATACACAAACACTGTAAACCACATGTCTTTTAAGCAAGCATTCTCCTTGGATGCCCAACGATTCAGTATGATTCAAACAAATGAAGTTGCAAGTGAACGCCACAAATCAAAGGAAAAAGTGTTTACACCAGTTACAAATGGCCACACTTAAAGGTCTGTTGTCGTTTTTAGAGTTAGAAAATGTATCGTACGCAGCACCCCTGAAAGCCAACGATGCAACAAGAAATGTGTTTGAAGCATAATGACTCCTTGAGTGTTCCCAGCTTTGACCTCACTTTATAATCTCTCTTTCACAAAAACACATATACACACTTGTATGATGACAGTTGTGGACAAGGCTTGATGGACTAGTCGTTGATACATGTTTGTCATGGTGGGCATTGCTTTCTAAGTGCACCTCAATGAGTATTCTTTATTTCTTGTCCATCTCTAGCACCACCAAGCGGTTTGTTCTTATATAGCCATGTACTCAGCTATGCATGTTCACGTTTGGATGCTCTTACTGTAGGCTTCCTCCCCCTTCCAAATAAAAAACTAACGGATAGAGGTGCAGGCTGTATGGAAGGTCATGGCAGGGAAGAAGTTACAAGATGGAGGAAGGAGAGCACTCAAACATGGCATAAGACCAGTCAGCCTAATATCTTCTCATGGTACAGAAAAACATTTTGACTTGGAGTTAGGTATGGGAAGTTTCTCAAGAAGCTGATGTTCTCTTCACCTCGTTTTTTTTTTTTAACTTGCCTTAAGTTTATGACTAATTAAAAAGGTACTTCTAATGTTACTCTTTCCAAAAACATCACACTAAAGAGGACATTCTCCAATATTGCACTAGGGCTGCTCGATTATGGCAAAAATCATAATCTCGATTATGTGGGTCAATAATTGATATCACGATTATTAAAAACGATTATCCATTTACTTAGAAAACATTTATTGAACTTTTTTTTTTTAACAGTATGTTTTTAACAGTTGATTACCCTGAACGTTAAGTAAAATCGTTTTATTTCGATTATGTTGTTTTCATAATCGTTGCAAGCCAAAATCGTAATTGCGATTAATTGAGCAGCCTTACATTGCACCAATAAGTTAGTTAGTCCCAAGCAAGACGTAAATCCCAACCTACTACATCAGTTAGGATTCGAGCATTAATGTATTTTTGAGTAACCATAACCTGAAAGGGGAATTTAATCAACAAGTAATTTAATGTCAATTGATTCAAAGTATTTCCACACACCAAATTATTTTGTATCTTTATGACATGACTATTATGACTCCCCATCATGGCTGACTTAGAGTTATACTAGTAAACTCACAATGTAGCACCGTTATGCCTCCGAGGCCATCTGCAGAGGTTCAGTGACACAGAATGAATGTATTCAGGATTAAGTCTTGGTAACGGCACTGCACCAAACTCAGGGAACGTGACACACCTTATTCAACCTATAATGAGTCAACAACCAAACCAGAATGACTACAAAACGTATGATGTTGTTAACTAGTCTAGTTAAAGGTGTTTTACATCTTACCTAGTCTGGCAAGAAGATTGTTATTCATTGTATCTCTTTGTCCAGTACAGAGACCGTTCTGGGGTTTGTGGATTCACAATTGAGGTTCCCTTTGACCTGAGTTGACGGCAATTCATTTCCTAAAAGTATTTTTGTTGTACTTTTAACTGCTGGCTAACATATGTGAGGCATATGAGTTTAGCACACATGATACCGTATTCCCTGTGTCTGTGTGTGCCTTACAAAACCGATTATACAGCACCTACACAGTGTAGCCTAATAACAAATGACTGTCTGAAACCAAAACCTTTTTAAAGTGCTTCCTTTATTTATGTTTTCCTGCAGGCTTAAATGCTGTCTTTTTGTGTATTTGTTTTTGGCCTGGATTGCTTTTAATGAGGTTGGATAATGACTCATCAAAGTCAGATAATGCTTGTAACTGTCAGAAGATTTTTTCTTTCTGGGTCTGAGAATACAGATTCCTGCCTTTCACTTTTCTGCAATGTACACCTTGCTTTCCCCGCCCTTAGAATCACTGCAAACCTTGATTGTCACTTTTTTCTCTCTAGATCTAGTAACTCAGACTATCACAGTTGTCTGTTGAACACTGACTCTTTGAACACTGTAAATGGATGCATCCTCTTGCCTTTAACATACACATTTTTGATATGCAAAAGGGGGAAAACACTAATTTGACAGGCACCTTTATTTTCAAGATTTCTGATTGGCTCCTTTGAAAGTTGTATTTGCCGTGGTAGGCCCATATCTTGCCTGTATTGTATGTTAAACCATTAAAGCTCTATGTCTGCGATCATATTTCTTAATGAGTTAATGGCATTTAAGCAAAACAACTATTTGCATTAATGTACTGCTTTTTCATCACTGACATTGTGAAAGATGTCAAATGTTTTAGACACACAGTGTTGGATTGTTCGTTCACATCCCTGTCTGATCTTTACTGCACTCGAGCTGATCCATTTCTTTGAAGTAGTTAAAACCCTAACAAAACATGCTTGTTTAGAGCAAGCAGAATGTTTCTCTTGAACCACTTATCCAAACACTCAACACAACACTTCCTTTGATCCTGAGCAGTACACACATAAGATAACACCTGGGATTGACCCTAACCCTAACCCTAAAGGTTTTTATGATTTTAAATGATGAAAAGTATTGAATATTTATTATGGTACTTATCCAACTAATTATACCAAATAACGTACATAAAGCTCCATATTCACTTGAAAAATGTGTTACTCAATAGTATACTACAATGTCAATGTATTTCTATCGTACATTTACCGGACAGAGGTTAAAGGGATTTCAAAGTGGACTCTAATAGAAGGAACAATAGCGGTGTGGGTGTAATATGTATTTTGATTACGGTATAAAAAGGAAACCAGTTTGATCTCCTCTCTGTGATACCCTTTCTCTGTCTAAACACACACAACATACACAAAGACATCTCCCTGTTCTACGCCAACATACCAATCTCAATCAAGTGAACGTTAACATTTCAATAACTGCTTTGAGCTTACTGGGTGTTCTTAAAGGCACTAACTTTATTTCAGTGAAATGGAAAGAGTTTTTCCCATACAGGCAAAGCAACAGAGCTAGTTTTCAGAGAAAAATTAACTTGTTGACTGGGTTGGACTTTAATGGCCCAAGATTACACTTATTCTGTCACTTATTATCTTTAGAAATGGAAAGAGCCGGTGCTAACCACCCAAGAAAACTTTTGATACTAACTTTGTAAAAGCCACACGGGTTGGCCTGCAGAAACTGAAGCAGTGCTCAAAAAGTTTTGCATCAATGGAAGAAAAATTGGTTTCATGTGTTAAGATGTGGTTGGATTTGGGGCCATGAGAGCTTTACAAAACGTAAAATGTATATATAAAAATTGAAGTCTAATTACCTGGACTTCATTTATTTAATGCTTTTACAACTGAGTTCAGCTTTCACACACACATCCATACAAAACACTAACATTCTCACACACTCATTCACAGTTGGCTAGGCCATTAGGAGCAATTTGGGTTTAGTATCTTGCCAAAGGACACTTGGATCTACAGTAGTTCTCTTCACCAACTGGTTTAGCAGTTTAATTATATTTAATAACAACCAGACAGCTAAATGTAATACAACTTAAAGTGTCCGATGTCTGTTTACTTTCTGACCACTTTCAATGATACATAACAGGTATTTTAAAGCCTTATATTTACTGTAAATATCTACATAATTACATTGTGTCTCATATTTTGTGAGTTTGTAATTATGGGTTCAAGAGCATACAGTAAAAAAAAGAAAAGAAAGAAAAGCAACTACATTTGAATTTCTATCAGAATGTCATATTCAAATAGCCTTAATAATATGTGGGTAAGTGTTAGGTCCATGATTCCCCCCCCTTTGGAAAAGCCTTTATGATCCCGCATGATGATATCAGTTAATAAGGCGTGTTTGTGCCGTATCTATCTAACAGTGTCAGTCTCTTACAGATCGTCAGTAGGCTTCTGCCACAGTGCCGTTCCTCGTACCCCCCCCACAGCTGAGGGTTTGAGCCTCCTCAGCTCCTTTCACAGGTAAAAGCAACCTCACAGTCACACAGCAGTTTTGGATAAAGGGAAAACATGGATGTTAATCAATACTGACAATTTGTAAAGGCATTTGTGTTCCCTAGAAGCACACGGCAGCTCCATTTGCAACAAAACAAGGACAAATACCATTAACATTACACTCCGATCACCAAAGGCAATGTATTCAAGACCTTTCAGCGTTATTTTGGGTTAAGCTCCATTTGGGCTTTTACGATTGACTAGTGCACAAAAGAATGCTTCAGTCTAATCTAATATAGAACCCTGAATCTGTTAATACGCAGTATAGGTCTGTCTATTCTTCTATTACCTTCCTAAAATAAGGGCTGTTGTTAATACAAGCTGACAAGATTTTCTTTTACGACATAATATACATCAGTAAATAACCCACTCTGCAATATCCAAAGCTTGTGAGTGTCATAGAAAACGGTGGTTAGCTAGGTGGCTAAATCAGACTAAATTAAACACTCCAAACATTAGCCACCTTTAGCTTAGCGCTGGTGACGTGAACTCATGCGACCATCATGTAGTTAATTATTGCATTCATGGTTCAACTATTAAAAAAGTGGTGTTAATATGTGGAGAATTTATTGCCTGTAATATTCCAAAATAGAAAAATCCCATTGCTTTTAATCAAGTGAGCCCCTGCAATGGTAACTTCCTCGTCGTCCTACAAAAACAAAAAACACTGCACCACTCTTTTAGGGTCTATGCACAGAATGGACTCCTATGTTTTACATTAAATGTCATCCATGATCTCTACTTCTCGCTCTCTTGTTCTAGTGCGTGGACCCTCTTGGATCACTGACCCAGGGTCCGCCCACCATGAGTGCCTACTGTCAGGATCCCTCTGCTGCCTCTGGGTCCTCCGTCTCTGTATTACACAACATCTGACCCCTGATCTGTGACACTGTTTGTCCAAAACACTCGGCCAACAATCTTTCTAGAGGACCTTGCCCAGCTTAAAAAAAACATCCCACGATGCCTCTTTTGGGAGTGCCTGGCTCACATTGTTTTTATGAAGCAGAAATGACCCTTGCTACTGCCAGTAATGAAAATACTGACTTTTGCTAGAACTGCTGTTCTTTTCTTTCCACAATCAATTCCTCTATAATTTGTCGCCTGCAGTGTTTACTATGTGTGTCATCATATCTGTGTATAAAACACTACGGCACCATACAAATATGTTCACCCTTGTTTGCATTTGATAACGCATGCGCAGCTAGAGGTTCTCCCTTCGATGCTTCAGAATGTTCTGCTGATATATGTAAAGCACTATTCTGCATTTTCATGTTTTCGCCCCCCCATTTCATTCATGTGTAATTCCTACACAAGTCTGCAAGGAAAAAACCCTTAAAGATAAGCACAAACTAAAGCAAAGCATTCCTAAAACGTGTTGTGTGTGACTGTTAACATCATATCAAAAGCTGAGAGTATGTCAGTGTTCAACATGCCCTTTTTGTGTCGTTGACAATGCTTGGATGTAACGTGAGACTTTAAGTCACAAAGAAAAGGGACATTTGATTGTTTTTTTCCCTCTGATGTCACAAGACTGAAAATGCACATGTGAAGAAGACATGTATCAGCATTAATAAGCAATATTGTTGTAATGTGTTTGTTTTTCTGACATTTTCCCTATAGCCTGCCTTTGAAATCAGAAATAAACCACTCATGCACATTTCTTTCCTTCCTGTTCTATAGTCAAAGACTGTTTCAGGGGAGTTGGTGATATCGTCACTGTGTTACTGAAGGTCCCCTATTATGCAAAATCCACTTTTTCATGTCTTTTCTACAGAAACATGTGTCCCCTCTGTGTAAAGAGATTCTGGAAGTTTCAGGAAAAAGGATTAGCTGAAAATGAGCTGATCAGACTTTGGCCACTTTATGATGTCATAACGATTTTTTGGCCTGTGTAACCATTAGCCAATCACCAACCAATGCTGACAGGGACTACCAGTTATTTTGTTAACAGTTCTTCTTTAAATCACAATCAAGGACAAAAGTTGCAGCAACAGCTCCGTTTCATTTTCTACAGACATTATCCACTTACCAACAAGTCTGCAGTTCAACCCAAGCTCCTTTAATACCTCATTCACACCAACGGTGTTTCAGTGCCGGTTCGGAGCTGGAGCTTGAAAAGCACCGGGTTTTCCTCTTCACACCGCAGCGGAGCAGCCTCTTAGCTCCGGAATCCGGTTCGTTTCAAGCACCAAAAAATTGTCCGGCCAGAGCAAAATCACCACATACGTCACGCTTACGTCGAGGCGGAGGCGGGGGCAGAGACAGATCAACTCCTGAACAACAACAAAAAGCCCGCGTTTTATCCAGTTTGTACACAACGATGGAGAAACTTAACAAGAGTTTCAGTGTTTCTGCCATACTGTATAAAAAGGTTTCTGCTCACGGTGAAGCAACGTGTCTGCGTGTTAAGGTGGAACCTGAGCATTCACGTTGATCACCTCTCATTATAAATCTATAAAACAATAAATATTCAACTTTACTTCACGTTGTAGTGCCGAGAGATAGGGAGTCGGAGGCGGTGCAATGGAGGTACAAAGCTTGCTTTAATGAGCAGCAGAAATGTAGATGTTGTTGGGTCGCAGCCCGGGACGACAAGAGAAAGAGCCAGGAGGGCACACAACATATAAAGGTAACCACATATATGTCCGTGTGGAAACAATACCCCCAACTCTAGTTCCATGTGTGGATTATGTAACCCAGTGTATTAAAAGGTGGTCACCACACAAGCCCCCCCAGAATCCAAACATGGCAAAAAAAATCCCCGCGTCCGGGAGGAAGCACCACAGGGGCCGAGGAGGGTGAGGTTGCAGGTGAGGGCCGGGCCATGGAACGGGCCGTCGGAAGGGGGCCGCAGGAGAGGGTAGGGGCCCTAACTAGGGCGAGGGCACCCACACCGGGGACGGGCCGTCGTAAGGGGGCCGCAGTAGGTGTCGCGGAGAACCCAGCAGGAAAGAGCGCAACCCGGCCGCAGGCAGACGCACAACGGCGGCGGGCACGAAGTCCTCGGCAGGCGTCGAGGTATCCCCGGAAGAGAGGAGCAGTCCCCCCGGGAGGAAGGAGCGCAACCCGGCCGCAGGCAGACGTGCAACGGCGGCGGGCACGAAGTCCTCGGCAGGTGTCGAGGTATCCCCGGGAAGCAGGAGAGCAATCCGGCCGCAGGCAGACGTGCCGCGGCGGCGGGCATGAAGTCCTCAGCAGGCGCTGAGGCATCCCCGGGAAGCAGGAGAGGCCAGACAGGGTCCCGGAGCGCGCCACCCATGGGCCGATGGAGCATGGGCGACGTCCGGAACTGTCGAGGCGAGAGGGGGTCCAGGAGTGCGCCACCCAGGCGCCGATGAACGTGAGTGGCGTCTGGATATCCCCGGAAGGCAGGAGAGGCCAGACAGGCTCCGGAGCGCGCCACCCACGGGCCGATGGCAGCATGGGCGACGTCCAAAACCGTCGAGGCGAGCAACCCATCCTCACTCCCAGGTCGGCCTATGTTGACGTTATGTCAAGTTCCCTGTCGGCTTTTTCCAACGCAAGGGGGGGGGCCTTAGCGTCCATTTTCAACGCAAGGGGGGGGCCCTTAGCGTCCATTTTTCAGCTTTCCGGGATGTCCATATGCTTCTATGGACGCTCATGGAAGCACGGCGTTCGTTTGTGTCGACTGCCCTTAAAGGCAATGTGAGCGTCCATTCTCATTGGATAACGGAGAATTGTACACCCGGAAGTAAGTATTCCCCTTACTGTCGATTGATTTTACAGTGATATCTGCACTACTCATCGACTAAAAAACACCAGATTATCCTTGTTAATTACACAACATTGATTGGTTTAAATTGTGTGCAATGCTTTTGTATTTTTCCCCTTCGATTCGGAGAAACAAATGTTTTTTCGGAGTAAAGGATGGCAGAAGACACTACACTACCCAGAATCCCCAGCTATCGTTTGGACTACACCATGTGCTCTGTTTGACAAACCCCGTGATAGTCCTCAAGCTCTGTGATTGGAGAGTGTGCTCTGAGGGTTACGCCGAGCCTCGAACAGCACTTGAAATGGGATGGAACCATGCACGGCAGACTGTCCAAAACTGGATTTGAACGGGTCCACCGCGTCCCCCCTCCCCCACCCTGTCTCCAGAACTACAAATGCTGGCTATTCTGTTTCGCAACATGTTCTGTATCTATGGCACGTCTCTACTGGGAGTTGTAGTTTAAAAAGACGTTTTCGTATTTCCCATAATAAGAAGTTGCCAGTATTAAACTGTGTACATCCCTGGAGGTTTAGGGGATAGGAAACACTCACATTTAAAACATATAATTAATAAATGGGTGAAAATTGCTTGTGCCCATAATGGGCAGCATTAATATATATATACACACACACATGCCAGCTAAGGTCAGAAGAGCTTTATTTAACAGCTGGTCTTATGTTTGTGACCCCTGTTGTTAATTGATAACATTACATTACATTAATTGATAAGCCTGAAACATGCACTTGTTAAGGTTCAGAGGCACATTTTACAAATATGGCAGTATAGCCATCGATCAGCTTAAGATAAGATATACTTTATTGATCTCAAGTTGGAACATTTGCGTTACATCAGCATGTGTAACAGTTAAATATGCAGTGGTGTTTATTTGTAAATCATTTAGTATAATCACACAAATTCTGTGTTTTATATTCAACAATTCTGTGTTCTTTATTTATTGATTGTTCAATACCTGACAAGGTCGGAGATGAAATATCTACATACATCTTATAAGAGTATAATACATTATGTATAATATCAGTTAAAATAAGTGCTTCAACATAGTTAACATTGCTGGAGGTACGCACAAATATTGATAGATGTCTTGTAATGCACTATTGAGGAACCTGCGACC